AATTATCCTTTGACTGAAACTGCTTTTTCCTTGGGGTTTCTCAAGATGCTTACCTCTTTCGCATCACCATTCTGTTTCTTTTCCACAGCATCTCCATTACTAACTTCACCATTCCCTACTTCCTTATCTACACCATTTGCCAGCTCGCTGATATTTTCCTTTTCTTTTTGGTCGGTTTTTTCGTCTTCGTTCGATTTTTTGTCTTCAATCTGAGAGGTTTCGTCAGTCTTTGCCTTAGATTTGTCAGTCTGACTGCTCTTGCTCTTATTGTCCTCTTCTGTTTGGATCTGTTTCGAGACTGGTTTCTCAGTCTGGGTATGTTTCGTTGATACCTTGAAATGTATTGAACAACAAACTTTCGTTATAAAATATGAATAGGAATAAGCACAGAAGTTTGACTGTGGATCATCTCAACGCAGTTAACTTGGCAACCAAACATTTTATAAAGCCTGATCGGGAAGGTTCAGTTCAAAAATGAGATGCCACATGGAGATGTACGTACGAGGCTTGTTTAATAAGTACCCGTGTTTGACGACAGAGAGTGTTCCTGAGGGAAGTTGGTGTTATCATCGTGTGCTGCCATCTATAAAACGACTGCGCAACAAATTTCAGACTGATTAATAAGTTAGTTTGAATGTGGCAGCAATTCGCTAAGGTGGAAAACGAGCAGTACTCGTATCGTTCGATAATTCGCTTTTTGTTTTTGGATGGGAAAAAATGCGAGATAACAGCAAAGTTGGATGGGGACACTTCGCCATTTATGACCACAGTTAGATATTGGTTCAACGAATTTGAACCTGGGCGAACTCCGTTTTTGAAAAGGAGCGACCGGGACGCTCGGCAGGCATGGTTACCGAGGAAATCATTCAAAAAGTCCACGACACGATTCTCGCTGATCGACGAACGAAAGTGCGTGTGAAGTAGCAGAGGCCGTACGTGTTTCGATCGGAACGGCAATGAATATTTTACGTGATAAGTTGTAGAAGAAAAATAACCCGATTGGTGCTGCGATTGCTCAAGGTGAACAAGCGGGTGCGGCTGTTAACTTCGAAGCAGTGTTTGGAGCAATTTAAGCGAAATCCGAAGGAGTTTTTGAGTCGAGTTATCACCGTTGATGGAACCTGGATTCATCATTACACGCCAGAAACTGAGCGACAATCAAAACAATGATTTCTCCCGGTGAATCTGCTCCAAAGAAGGCGAAGACGGTCTCATCGACCGGAAAGGTCACGGCCATGATTTTTTGGGATGAGAACGGCGTCAGTCTCATGGATCTTTTAGCAAAAGCAAGAACGATCACTGGACAGTGAGTTATTGGATCGCTTCGACAAAGAACTGAAGGAGACACGGCCACATTTGGCGAGAAAGAAGGTGCTGTTTCACCACGATAACGCACCAGCACATTCATCCGGACTTGTCGCCGCCAAACTGCATGAATTACGTTATGAAGTGCTGCCGCATCCCTCGAATTCACCCGATCTGGTCCGTTGCAACTTTTTCTTGTTCGCCAACATGAAGAAACGGCTCGCGGGAAAAAAATTAGTTCAAACGAGGAAGTCATCGCCGAGACAGATGCGTGTTTTTGAGAGTTCGACAAATCCTATTTTTTTGGAGGTGTTAAAAAATGGCAGGAATGTTGGGAAAAGTGCATCTTTCTAAAAGGGGACTATGTTGAAAAATAATTTTTTTTTTTTTGGGAAAAATGGTGTGTTCATTTCTAACAGGGGTACTTATTGAACAGCCCTCGTATGTATAATAGCCACCAGCATTTTCAAAAGCAATTTCTTGGAACTGAAAAATAATAATCAGAAATCCTGTGATGCTCTGCATAGTCAAGCATATATTCAAATTAGCAGGATAGTAACATCAAAAAAAAAACACATTTTTATGAGAACTACTACCCACTAGAATCAAAAAATTATGATCAAAAATCAAGTAGTGCGCCGTCGCCCAGAAACAAATAAAAAGGACGGTTCCCGCAGATGCTATATTGTGTTCAATATAGGATAATTTGTACACAGTGTGAGTTACTTTGCCGCCCTAGAGCATAAAAGAATTTGTGGGCAAAAAGTGAGAATTAACGCTCGAAACCTATTCAAAAAGTGCATTTTTCCGCCTGGTCCTAGACAAAAATAATACGGGCTTCCTCTATAGAAAACAATCACCGTGTGTCACTAACTCGATAATGCAACTTTTTAAGACTAATCTTAAGATTGTGCTTACCTCTGATTCTTCAGTCTGATCTGCACTCTCTGAAGAAGCTTTTTCTTCTGCTTTGGTCGCAACTGAGTCTACTTTATCTTCTTTAGTTTCTTTATTTTCCACAGATTCTACTTTTTTATCAGTCTCTTCTTTGACGGACTCTGTTTTGCTAGTTTCTACCTTTTCTTCTGTACCGTTCTCTTTGGCACATTCATCTTTCTTAGATTCTTCCTTTTCAACTTCTTTTTTCGCTGGTTCTTTTTCATCAGTCTTGGTTTCTTCGGCATCCTTTACTGTCTCTGCTTTCTTTTCTACTTTTTCCTCAACTCCATTGGTTTCTACTTTCTTAGGTTCCTTTACTTCTTCCTTGGATTTTTCAGTACATACGTCTTTGCTCTTATCGGTATCTTTGCTTTTTGTATCTACTTCATCAGACTTTGCTTTCTCTTTAGTTTTCTCAACAGGTTTCTCACATTCCTCGGGTTTCTTCGCCTCTTCAACTTTTTCTTCTACTTCGGCAGTTTCCATGGGAGTTTCTTCAGGAGCAGTCTTTGTCGTTTCAACGTCATCAGTCTTCGTTTCTTCCGCTTTTGGTTTTTCTGTTTTTTCAGCCTCAGGTTTTGGGTCAGACTTTTCTTCTTTCTCTTTTGTTACTGTAATATTGGATATTGTTGAATGCACATTGAGTGATATTTTCAACAGTTTTCTACAAATTTAGGGATTGATAGCCTTGGTTGATAACGTTCATTCAAATTTCAAAAGTTTTTTACATTTTACACAGAAGTTTGCAGGAAGAACATTATAAAATGTTGAGCATAGAGAGTAGAATGATCTTTGGCTGAGAAGCCGAGATTCACTGTGAAGATTTTCTGTGGTAAACATTTCTTTTTGTTATACATAACCTTCAAAATACACTTCTTCATGATTTCAATTTTTTATTATAATTATTCATGACTCCAGCCATGCTAAGACTCCATAAGATAGCCATGGTTGATTGAGGGCATATGAAACAGTAGCGGACAAAAGTTTGGAAACAAATATTAACATCACTATGAACTGTTTCATAATTTCTCAAAGATTAAAAATTAACAAAGAGACGATTTCGAAAATTATTAGTAAATATCAAGAATATGGATCAACAGCAACGTGGCCCAGGTGCGGAAGACCAAAAAAAACCAAAAGAATCGTAGAAGAGGGTGCCGAGAATCTTTGTCAGAACAATGCAGAGACGCTTGGTGGATTTTGAGCTTTTTGGTAGGCGTTCAATGCAAAAGACTCTCATTTCAAATAAAAAATAAAATCGTATTGCTCGGCTTGAATTTGGACAGAACAAAAATTTTATGGAGCGATTAAAGGGAATTTAACTTGACTGGATCATACAGTACGGCATATGAAAAGGATTCAACAAAAAGTTATCAGTTGACAACAGTCAAGCACGGTGGAGGCAACATCATAGTTTGGGGCTGTTTTCCTAGTTCTAGAACGGGTCCAATTGTTAAAATTGTCGGGAAAATGGATCAAAAGCCTCACAAAGATATTCTTGGTAAAGACATGCTCCCTTTTGCTGAGGAAAAAATGCCTTTACGATGGACATTCCAGCAAGATAATGACCCCAAGCATACCTCAAAATTCGTAAAGGACTGGTTAAGACTAGAAAATGTTAATGTTCTTACATGGCCTTCGCAATTACCGGACCTAAACCCTATAGAACATCATCTGGAAGCATGTTAAAAGACAACCGACAAGAAAAAATTATAGGAACGATTACAAAATATCCCAACAGTCGTCTGCAAAAAATTTGTGAGCAGATGTCAGGCAGTGTTGACTGCTACCAAATATTAGCTAAACAGTATTTTTTAAATCTTTTTGTGGTTATTGTATTTAATTTTGTAATAAAAATGTTTCCATACTTTTGTCGTCTCATTTTCGGTCATAAAACAATATGAAGGTATTTCAATGCTAGTCTGAAGTACCACAGCAAACACAAACCGTTATTTATACCCTCAAGACTGTAAGCAAACTATATGAGAAAAAAATAGTCGATAATAATAAAGAATAAAAAATTAGCACAATTTTTAAAAATTCCCAAGAATGTTTCCAAACGCGTTCCATCTTAGATGAGAGAAAATTTGTAACCTTTTGAACATCTAATACAATTTGGTTTTACAAAGAAGCCCAATATTTGAGTAAATAATTGCCGTATCGCGTGCGAAATCAACAATTTCTCCATCGTTTTTTAAAGTAAAGGTCATTAATATACAAATTAAACAGCATTGGTCCTAATACGGTTCCTTGTGGAACTCCATATCTAACAGCTTCCTGGAATCCGTATTGCTGTTCAGATGTATCAATTATTAGAATTTCAAGTTGGCACCGCGCAAAATCAGCAAATCTCAGGACTGCCTTGTTTCAAAGCATTTTGTGTAATTTACTCGGTAATCTAGGGACATCAAAAGAGAAGATGGGACAAATCGATATAAGTTAAAACTACGAAGCTAAAGGTGCTGAATATGGAACATAAAGAAAAAATGAGAATTTCATGCAGAAGAGAGAAAGAAGAGAAGAAATACTGTAAGATCTCTTTAATACCTTCCTCCTCTTTCTTCTCAGCTACGGAAGCGTCGACTTCCATCGCCTCCTCAGCCTTTTCGGCTTCCTTTTTATCTTTCTTCTCTTCAACAGGTGTATCTTTAACTACAGCAGTTTCGTCGGTCTTAGGCAATTTTGCTGGCGGTTGCTCCTATGATGTCAGAGATGATACGAATGATATGAATGATGGTTAATTAAGTCAACATATGTTAAGAAAATATATTTATTTATTAAATTATATTATAACAAATATACATATTTACACTTTGCAATGTCGCACAACAGCTACATCTAACTACAAAATTTACAAATTCAAATTTATACGCATGCAAAACGTATCACGGATGGGCAGTACAGGAAACTGTATTTTATCTGCATATGACCATTTTTAAATTTATCAACTTATGCTTCCTCAAAAAATGCCTATTTTTGATTCGGATTGAATCTGAATAGGTACGAAATGCTAACACTGCAATTAACTTCCGTAAAGTTCATACAAAATATACTGGCCAGAAAATGAAATATTTTAAACTAATTGGACTTGCCGAGTATCAATGGTTCATCAACATATTTACTAGAATTAAGTCAGATTTAAAATTCGACACCCTTTCGTTATTTAGCTTTTCATTTATATGTATAACGAAATGAGTATTTCAGCGAACTTTTTGGCGCTGGAAATAACATAGTTCAAGTTGATCACAACTCATGAATCTTCCCACTAATTTTGGCCGACATGGACGCCCTTCAGAGCCTGGAATTCGTTGGATTGTTAATCGTTTTGAGGAAACTGGTTCAGCTGAATGTCGTAGACCAAACCAACATGCTCGTCCAGCTCGAACTAGTGAAAACATAGCCGCAGTGAGTGAAAGTGTGCAAGAAGATCCAACCAACCACCTCGACTAGGCACCGTTCGCAACAATTGGTAATTAGTGATACCACTTTATGCCGGATTTTACACATTGATTTACACCTCAATCCATACAAAATCCAACTAACACAGGAATTGAAGCCGGCAGACCATCAACAGCGGCGTGTTTTTGTTTATTGGATGCTGGAAAGAGAAGACGGATTTTCGGCCAAAGTGCTCTTTTCTGATGAGGCTCATTTTCACCTCAACGGGTACGTAAATAAGCAACATTGCAGATTCTGAGGGGTTGAAAATCTACACCAATATCATGAACAACCTCTCCCTGCTGAAAAAGTGACTGTTTGGTGCGGATTATGGGTTGGACCATTCTTCTTTGAAGATGCCGAAGAAAAGGCCATTACCGTCAACGGGGAACGTTATGGCGGCATGTTAACAGACTTTTTGTGGCCACAATTGGATCCTATTGGTGCCGACGATCTTTGGTTTGATCAAGACGGAGCAACGGCTCACACATCTCGACAAACAATCGCCTTATTGCACACGAAATTTCAAGACCGCATAATGTCACGAAATTCAGATGTCAGTTGGCCCCCGAGATCGTGCAAGATTTAACACCTCTTGACTATTTTCTTTGGGGATTTTTGAAAGGAAAAGTGTATGGGAACGGTCCCCGGACAATTCAAAGACCTAAAGCGCAATATTCGGACTGAAATTGCGGCCATACACCCGATTATTCTGGGAAAAGTCATTGAAAATTTTGATGATGATTGATGTTATTTTTCATACATAAATGGCATAAAACAACCTTCATTTATCAATAAAAAAATTCGATTTCACCTCGTAAAAAGCGTATTCATTTTTCAAATAGAAAAAAGTAATAGATGACGCACCCTATAACAAAATGAGTATTTCAGAGGGGTTTTTGGCCATGAAAATAACATATTTCAAGTTGATCAGAATCGTGAAAATTTTGATTTTATATATTTTAGAATAATTAAAATTTCATGTTAAAAAAAATGTTGATTTTCTTTTTTAATTTAGCAGTTTATTGTTTTTCTTTAAACCCCCAACGTTCGTAATTTTGGCGTTTTTGTTCAATCTTCACCCGTGTTTGAATATTAGTATATAGTTGCAATACTTCAAACCTATAATGAAACAATGAAATCAGAACATAATATGGAAACAAAAGTGGTATTACTGTGCTTACATTGAAAATAAAAGTTGCAGTCTCATCATAAGTGTGGATAGATTTGTCTCAACTTTTGTTTGCGTAGTGGAGCAACACTTTTTTATGTTTTGTATTTTACTATGTTTTGTTATATAATTGAAAATGCGCGAATTTTGGACAAAAATGTTGAAACCATGAATTAGAAGCTTTTAAAAAACAATCAAGTACTGAAACCAGGAGAAAAATGAAAGTTTAAAATACATATGCAAATTTTGGGGCCAAAAATCCCCCTTATAAAGTGAAATTTGCAGATAAAATCCTTGTCTAGTGCGCAATTTCTAACAGGGGTGTATCACAACCTTTTGCGCTAAGAGTGACAGGTGAAGCTTTGAAAATTTCTGGGCTTTACTGTCTAGGAAGGTTTATCATGGACGCTGGGAAGCCAAAGATGAAGAACAATTAAGACGGCGAATTTGCGACAAACTTTGAGAAATTGATATGAATTCCGACCAGGACCTCATGAGGGGCATTCGAAGAAAGTTGCGTCTGGTAGAGCAGAATGGGCCACTCCACATATTTCGATATGTATTGTTAAGTATTGAGCCGTAATTTATGATAACTAGTTACTGTTTAAATAAATTTCTTCATTAAAAAAATCCGATAAATATTTTGTGTCAAAACTTTTAGGACATAACGCTACAAAAAAATCTATAATGTATGAAATAAGTGCACAGAATTACTAACACCAAACTATTGAGATATACCCTCTCCCACCCCCAACTTTAAACTCTTGAAACATATCTGAAAATGATCAGAAGCTTCTGAAACGTGAACAACTGGGTTTGAGGGACTGTTATCATTCCGTTTGCCTACAGCTCCGTCGTCAATGGATCGATTTCCAAAAACTATATATTTTTTCTTCCTTAGCATATCCGTAACCTTGTGTCAAAATTTCATCAAAATCCGACCGGTATTTTCAAAGTCGCATATCGTACATCCAAAAAACCTCATTTTCGAAATTTTGGCGCGGAGATAAAAAGCAACTTGACGTTATTCTGAGCTGAGGACGTTTAAACATAAAATTGACAGCTACCTCAAGCTATAGAAGCATGCCCCCTCAAACTACCAACTTGTACCAAAACAAGCCATTCACTACGAAAACAAGAGCATTTAAATGATTTCCTGTACCACTCCATACCATACTTTTTATCTACCCACTACCATCTCTAACTACTTATGCCTCCTACTTTTACTAGAACGAACCTCAGCTGGTGCGGATTCCTCAATGTTCTTACGCTTAGACGGATTCTCGAAAGATATTTCCTTGAAGCTGGAGATCACGGTGAATTCCTTGGCGGCATCTTCAGGAAGGCTTTCGTTACCCTCACGTTTTACAAGGGCTACGTGCATGCCAGCTGTTTTGGCAGCTTTTCCCTCTGAAATAAAAGCACATTTTTATTATCCGCTAAATGCTTATAACCGTTTTATATTTCGTAAAATAACTGAATTAATGCTAATGTCTAGCACAAGTCACTTTCCTACTTAACCATGACAAATATGTTTGAACACTATATTAAATCCATAGATTTGATTCCTGCATGCTGAAGTTGCTCTGACCACCCAAATCAACATTTCAAAGATTCCTTCATCATAACAGCTTCAGTGATCAAAACAGTATGGAATAAATGCTAAAAGGAAGGAACTAAAGTAGCAATCACAATACTGACCTTCAGCACTATCAGTGATAAATAGCACCTCCTCAGCCTTAGTTTCTAGTTCCTTGGCAACTTTTTCGTAACTACTCGATTCAGTCTTGCTTCCAGTCGATTGGTCAAAGTATTTGGAAATGTGCTTAGAGAGATCGCCTTCCACGGTGTGCGAGAACAGTTGTTTCTGAGATTCTACACTGCCAGTGGAGTAGATTGCGACTTTACGAGCTTTACTCCAGGATTCCAAGGCAGCTGGGACATCAGCGAAGACGCTGGAAAAAAATGTGAAATTTACTTCTTGCTTTGTGGTATTACAATAATAATAATAATAATAAGGCATTTTTTAGACACCAATATACCACCATAGCATAGATATTTTAGAAATCTCTAAATATCATTTTTGTAGAGAACAACTTATAATTTCACTGATGTGGTAGTCAAAGGTAAGCTGACAATCGAAATACGCGCCCAAATCTTTGAAAGTTTCAGTCCTTCCCAATACAGAATCATTTATTTGGCCTGTATAGACGCGAGATGAAAATGAGTATATTTAAGAAACCAAAAAAGTCAGTAAGTCCAACCGATAACTTACTGTCCTTTCAAATCTCCGCTTTCATATCCCTTCTTGCAGATCAGTCCTTGCAAAGTCTTCAATCCCTCGTTGCTATCCTCCTTTTCCGTGAGTTCCTTCAAGAGTTTGAAAGCGCCCTCAGCATCCGAAATGTCGTCCTTCAGCTGCTTCACGGCTGCCTTTACGGTTTCGTCTTCCCATTTCTCCTTCAGAAATTCCTCACCTTGCTTGGTTACATATGGCGAGAGAGTATCCTGGGTAGAAAAAAAATACATTGCATATCGTTTGAACAATGGGCGCCTGATAAATCATTCATGCATTCACCTGCTACCAGAATTGTTCACAGAAACAGTGTGAAAAGCCAGCTGGATATGAGAACGATGTACAGCTAGGGCAATTTAAAAATTATAAAGTTGACGAGTTATGCTATACAAAAAAATGATGGCAAGCTTTGTTATTTTTATAACCTGTATACCACAGTTTGCCAGCCAGGTTGTAATAGTAAGCAATTGGGTTTTTTGTTAAGGGTTTAACAGCGCACTGGGGTGCTCTACTGTAACCAAGTGAAATGTTTATTCTAACTATTGTTCGGGATATTAACATGTAGGTATTTTGCTTATTCATTTATTTCTTATTTGTTTTATTGTTATAGGTGCAAAATGGCAGCGAAAAAAAGAAAGTTTTTCGAAGATTACGTTGTTTGGATTTACCTTCATAGAAAAATACGAGTTACAATTGCCTCAGTGTGTGATATGTATGAAAGTTTTAAGTAATGATAGAATGAGGCCCAATCGCCTTGAAAGGCATTTGAAGCACCAACATCCTACTCTGGTTTTGAGGTTTTCAAGTTTTTCGATCAAAAAACATTTATTAGTTTATTTAAACTTTTAAAGTTTCTTTATTAGAATTAAAATAAAAGTCTTTGTACCTATACAATGTGCGTTTTTTTGTATTTATTGAAAAAGTAAAGGGGGGACATGAAAATATAATTTATAGTCCGGGAGTCTCAACAAAAAAAAAAGGTTGGAAACCCTGTTCTAGAGCCTATAATTTCAAAAGTAAACGACATGGATTTTTTTAATTTTCCGATAACTATACTAAGTGACATATAAATCCGAACACCCAGTTTAAATGGTTTTATTTTAATAAAATTTTGTAGAAGTACTTAATGAAGCATAATAAGTAAATGATAAAAATTTCAAAATGATTGCACTGCTTTAAAGCCCTTTGACCTTTAATAATGTGTGGATGCACCCTGATGTGCTACGCATTCTCCAACGCGCCTAGGCATGCTTCTGATCAGGTGGTCAATGTCCTCCTGTGGTATCTCATTCCAGGCAACCACCAACTCCTCTCGAAGTGCTTCTAGAGTTTGAGGAGGACGTTGCAAATTGAGCAATCTCCTACCCATCATATCCCACACGTGCTCAATTGGGGATAAGTCGGGAGATCTTGGTGGCCATGGTAACAATGTGACATCATTATGTTGAAAGAAGTCTATTGTGACTCTTGCAACATGTGGTCGGGTGGAAAGTTGGATCTGCCAGGGTGTCAAGATAGGGTAAAAGATGGGGTTCTAGAACTTCGTGGATATAACGCTGCGCGTTCATGTTACCTCTGATGAAGATTAAAGGTGACCTGGAACCATAAGCTATAGCACCCCAAACCATAACTCCAACAGTGTGATGAACATGTCTTTCAACAAAAAACTGTGGATTCCTCCTTTCACCACCTCGCCTTCTAACCCTGGCACGACCATCGTGCATGCCTAAACAAAATCGAGACTCGTCACTAAAGACAATACTGTTCCATTCCTGATCCCAGAGTGACCGTTGTCTGCACCACTCAAGGCGATTACGTCGGTGTTCTCGAGTTAAAGGGAGGACCCAGTGTGGCCGTTATGAAAACAAGCCAAAACTTCTCATTCGTCGGTAAACACTTCGCATGCCCATAGGTCTTCCGTGTTCCGGCGTCCAGTGCCCCTTGCTCTTTGCGTACGGCCTTCTCGAAGCCATGCCTGACAACACCTATCCACAGTGTCTACACTTCTTTGCACTCTAACTGCAATTGCCCGAAAAGAAAGTCCAGCTTCCCGAAGTCCCACTATACGGCCCCTATCAAACTCACTAAGGTGACGAAATCGTACAGGTCTCCATACTCTAGGCATCGTAACAGATCGTAAAGGATGTCAAGAACCAAAATCCGCCAACGTTGATTCTTTACTGCTGCTGAAATATTCATTTTTAGAGCGTTTGTGAATTAAAAAAAAGCAGTATAAAAACCGGAATGTCCAACTGATAAGGCTGAAAATTTTGTCACTTGTTATTTACAGTAAGATAAATACATTCACCAACTTTTATTAAAATAAAACCATTTAAACTGGGTGTTCGGATTTATGTCACTTAGTATATTATGACTTAGACCTTAGACTATCGTTTCCGGCTTGACGTCCAGTGACACCCTGCATATAAAAGGTTACATACAGAAAGAGCTGTGACAAATTCGCATAAAGACGCTGCAATTCATCTAGAATATTTTTTTTGGAGACGTGAATATAGAATTAGGTTCCTTCTGTTCAATGATTACAGGTTTAAAAAATCGAAAAAAAACCATCCGCGATCGACCGATTCTTACGCCCATTTTGCCATAAATAAAATCTGGATATTTGTTCAGGATTAGCTGGGAAACTGAAACTCCAAACAACATGTTTCTCGGGTACTACGTGACCTTGCGCACGCGAGAAGGCAGGTAATAAAATAATTACATTGTTAAGGCAGTACAAAGGGTGCCAGGGGATGGATGGCTGATTCAAATTTCAATCACTGCGAATATTCAGCCAGGGCTTTTGTGATGTACATCAATAGCCCTGGAATAGCTTTGACAATGTACTGCTATTCAGCATAAAAGCACTGCACTGCACAGCTTTAGGCTGCACATCCCCATTCTTTATGTCAGTCACATTTTAGTAGAAAATCATCAAGAAAAAAGGTTTCAATAGTTTTAAAAATTCCAGCAATTTGTGGTCTAAACAAATGATGGTTTTTCTTACTGCACAGGACGTAGGAGAACTTCACATGAGTAATGAATTTCTGGAATCTTTGACAGTCAGACAAAAAGGCTGAAAGTGTGGCTGATTTTGTATTTTTGACTGCAGCTAAAGACAATGCCAAAGCTTTGGTCAGACCCCAATAATCTTAGCAGGAAGAGGGAAACAAAAATAAGTAGAAATTAAAAGTTAATTAAGTAATTATGCTATACTTTGCCTGCCACAGTATGAAAAATGTAAAATGGGAATTGAACAGAATTAGAAGTCATCATTAATAACAACAAACACGTGTCAGACACAATTTGGCTAATAGTAAATAATTGTATGAACTTGCAGGTGATATATATGTAATCTAGAGATATAACCCAAATCCTGAAAAATATTTTCGGAAATTAAAATGATTCTAAACAATTAAAATAAAAACCAATTTCTAGGAAACTGCTGACTGACCTAGTAGTATGGAAAGAATTGAGATTATAAATACATTTCAAGACTATGTACAGTGACCAAAAGCATGAATTTAAGTGAGAAAAGTGAGATTTTCAAAAAAAAGTAGAGAGAAAATAGTGATTTTGTATATAAAAAACGAGTTAATTTTCTTAGTAATTGAATATCTTGATGCTTAATCTAAACAGGCAATATAAATGAAGTCTGAAAAAACAAAAAACGAGAATAACTATTATAAGGTCTTTGTTAATATTTTATTGGCATAAGCAAAAATAATTACGTATGATAGATCACCATTATGTAGTATGCACCATATTAGATTCAAAATGGCGACAGTTGATTCATCATGTATTGTCACAAGAACAAGAAAGGCAGGCATACCAAATTTCCACTCAATTGGTTAAAAATTTGGTTTCATAATTTGTCCTAGACATGCATACTAACATATTAACAGTTACTTGTATGAAACTTGTAAAAAGTGACACTGTTAAAGCAATTTCTATTGAAATCCCAGCACAACTAGGGTATTTCCAAACTATGTAAGTAAAATTTTATTAGTTATCTGAATGGGCAACTTCGTCTTCATAATCAACTTTGTACTGTATTGCTTACTGATCCGAATTTGAAATACCCAGTGCATATGCTTTTGCTTTTAGCAATGTTGGGTTAAAAATCAATGTAGATTTCAACTGATCCTACTAATTTCTCATGTAATACATGAACAACTTTGTCATAGTTAATTTTTATAATAAAAAATTCTCTTCTTTTAATTAAGAGAAGTAGGACAGCTCCTTCAAAAGCATTTCTAAACTACAATATGTGAGCGAAAATCGTGAGTAACCAGCATCCCTGGACTATAAATATTATGTTTCGCAAAATAATGGGAATTTTAAGGTTTAAACTCAACTTCATTTATTGAAAGTTCTACCTGAAATGTGTTGCATTTCACTGAGCTCTATCATATTTTTGGATCCAGAGAGAATTAGAAATAAGATCAGTTTTATGTTCGATTCTTCTTGTTAAACTTTGTGTATTTGAACACTATTATTGTTTTTGTGACTTTGATGTAAAATTTATTGTTCAACTTAAAACAATAATCATAAATCATTACTTTTATTATTGTCAGTTATGCATTGTTGAAATAATTAGCCATAAATTTTACATATGTAAAATCAATTATATATATCAGAATGACGATGCAATATGCTAATTCATTTAAAAATTTCTCTTCAGTGATGAATCCATGAAATAATTTAGGATATTGTGGGTTTGAAACTGTTGAAGTCAGCATTGCAGTGCTTTCAATCAGTCAGTGGCATAGTAACAAATTTAATAGCTGCAGTATAAGGCACTATTGCCTCAATTACCAATTTAATGAACTCTTTCTTATACCTTTCTAGGCAAACACGAGAAATGGGTATGGTTTCTAGGAAAATATGTGAGTTTGTTGGGTAAGCTCAAAGACATACCTTTTATATTTTTGCTTTACTGAGCTGTACTATTATTTGAGTGTGTGTGTGAAAAATGCATTTTGCAACAAAAAATAACATTATTTTTCAATCACTTCTAAACACACCATGAAGCAATTAGACAAAAAGTATTATTGAATACTTCACCTGACAGGCTATTCAAAAAAAGGGATACGAGGGATGTCTTTTAAGTTTTGCATATAGAAACATAGGCCTCGAGGATCGAACGTCAGTACTGAATCTTAACCTCACTCTTTAGTAAACTTAAATTCAAAGTTTCACAACAATACGTGCAGTGTTGTCACTACAGTGAATTTTTAAGCATCACCAAGTCATTAGAAAAATGGAACTCAACCGAGAACATTTTTTGGCGCCTAATGATTTCTTTACTTTCCAGAAAATTAAAAGCAGACTGAGTGGTCAAAGGTTCCAGTCACCAGAAGAAGCAGTTGATGCATTCAAAAATGCCGTTTTGGATCTGCCAGCAAACGAGTGGAATAAATGCTTCGAAAATTGGTTCAAGCACATGCAGATGTGTATTAATCTTCATGGAGAATACTTTTGAAAACAATGAAGTCATTTAAAACTACCTACCGTGTTGTTTTATTTCCATATGCAAAACTTAAAGACATCCCTTGTAAGCAACATTAAAGTGGTAACTTGGTTTACTTCTTACAAATTTTGACACATTCTGCACCTATATGATCTCTGATTAATGAGGTTCATTGAAGAACATTTATTTGGATCAGGTCTACAGCCATAAGACTGCAAAAAGATACTAGACCTTCATCACAATAGGAGCCCTCATGTTGCTTGTATGGCAACCCTGGTACCCTAGTGCAGTGTCTCACTTTGGTCTATCATAATTATCTTTGCTCTCCATGAGTAAATTTATTTAGATCAGCAAAAAAACCTCAGGTGTTATAAGTAGTACCTGTATTTCTAGTGAGTGTATCAACTGATGAAAAAAAAAGTTGACAAAATCACATTTTGATAGAATGTTGAATATGAATACTAACTGGACAAGAGAAAGTGTAGATGATTTTGGCATAAGAGAGCATGTGCTAAATAGAAAAAATTGGGACAAAAAAAACCCGTAAAGGATGACCCAACTTTTCAAAGTAGTCACCAGCTACCTGCCTTTCAGTAACTACCCTCCCTCACCAAACTTTACTACCTGAACTCATTCAAAAATGTATAATTGCAAAGATCCTGAAACCCAAATCTCAGCCTTGTTGCAGGACATTTTGTAGCGGCTGTACAACGGAGATGTTAATGCACTATATACCAAAGGATACATTTTTACCTGCCCCCAAGGCCGTCCAGAACAGATTTAACGTTGAAAACGACTAAACTCTACAGTCTACATTTTTAAAAATCTATTTTTAGCACAAAGAAAATACTCAAAACAGCATACGGCATTTAAAAAAAAATGCCGGTTCTCAGACAGCCTTGGAATTGCCAAAAGGATAAATATGGAAATATACATATTTAAACTAATTTTCAAGTGAAAGTTTTCATTGCTGAATGAAAAAATATGCGGACTGAACGTAAGTCCAAATTAAGTGTCATGATGAAGAGGTATTTTCAAAACGCATGCAGAACCTACCTTAATAAAACTGTTGGAGCTCGTGGTGCCGGCAACGTCCAGAACTATAACGGTGCATTTTTCGAAAGTAATCGCAGGAGCGGCGGTATCTTTACTCATTTTGCTTTGTGTATGTTATCACTAGCCTTGATAATCACAATTGATTATTTTAAATCTGCTCGAGTTTGCGAATAATCGATGAGAAAAGCAACGGCCACGATGGAGATGAAAGCCGCTAGGAACGAGAAAATGGAGGAGTTCGCAAATCGGAGCATGCGTTCGAAAGCGGCGTTGCCAGACTGTCAACGAACGAATCAACGAATACCCTCTATTTTCATACAGCAGATGTCCCTCATAGGGATGTAAAATATAACCGTTGGATGTAACGAATGCATTTATAATAACAGACTGAAAAGGTGTAGGTTCGTGTTTGCCAGAAGTTGTTATTCCATAATTAGAGCTGCATTCGCTTTACGCACAATCGCACTTCTTTGCTCGATTTGTTCTACGTTATCTTTGCCAAAACTCAACTTAACTATCCTTAAACCCTATTTCACGAGTATCCATCACGGTAGAATGGCAGCTGAATATTTAGTAATATCTCAAAATTCCCCATGTCGGCACAGAACACATAATTCTGATGGATCCGTCAACGTCAGGTAGACAAAGCCGAATTTTGTTTTGGTTTTTTGTACGCTACCGATTCATTCTGTACTTGCGTAAAGCTCTTTTATTTAGAAAAGTCCAAAAACACAATTTACAGCCGTTTTATTATTGCCAACGTTGTAGACTAACACAAAAATGTCACTTGCTGATCAGCTGTTCACGTCAGTAGACGTCAAAGCATGATGGATACTCGTGAAGTAGGGTATAGCTGACTGAGGGTTGTCTTCACTTTCAGCTTTCAGGTTAAGTTTATTTTCTTTACGTGGAAAATCCACCGGATTAAAATTATGAGACATAACTATGCTCAAAATTATATGTTTGCCGGCAAAGTCAAAATGCTTATTGTAGAGTGCAGCTTTATGACATAATAAATAAGGCCAAGGAAAAATGTATGTAAAGAATAACAAATTAACGAATAACAAGATGCTTTTCTAGCAAAAAATAAACTGATATTTCTGAAACTCATATTAAATGAGAAGTAGTTATCTAGATTGAAAAATTTTGAAAGCATTTTAATCTCATGCGAAAATATTGGGGGATGCAGTAATTTATTCGGGATCTGACAACACTGATAGAGGCAAAGACCGCCAAACGAGTGCACTCGAAAACTGCCGAGTGAGCCGAATGGAATGCTATTTTTGTTTGAACTTCAAAGACGTTTTGAACTATGCTAGATTTGAGAAATCAATACCTTTAAGGCCAGACATCAACAGTTTACAAATTACCTAGAATAATTTTTGGAACATTCTACTTAACATATACACCCTAGTTGTGCGATTTTGTTGTATAAGTCGATGAAAAACATGAAAAAACAACAAGCGTAGGCGTAGGGAGTACTGTAGTAGCGTAGTACATAAAAAACTTATCGAGGGATTCAACGTCAGGATCATGGGCGCCCATTTTAGGGGGGTCAAGGGGGCGCATACACCCCCCTGGATTCTGTTTAGTGAAATGTTTAATAAGATATCGTTGGGTAAGAAGTGGAATATCCCAACATAGAAAAAAGATCTGGCCATCTAGGCCGCGAAGTCTGCCGCCTTTGGTCCCCTAACGGCTTTTTCAAATTAAAATAGGGGTGAGAAGGACGTCTATCCTGCGCGCTGCCGGCGCCATCTACCGCCTTCAGCCGGAGCTTCGAACCCCGTCGGCCAGATGGCTAGATTGCGGCAGTGTTGAGACAGGCCCGGCGGTAACCATAGCAACGACAGCCTCACGGCGCTCCACGATGAAACGAACCGCTCCGCTTGCCGCAGTTCGGCATGTGTAACTGAGCGGTTGCATATGACTACCGTGACTACTTGTGACACTTGTAACATTTTTGTGTGACTAGTATTTCATGACATACTCGATTATAGTGCCATTTGAACTTATTGAGTGATTTGCGAGGCTCGGGCGCGGACCGTCCGTCAGAAACTTTAAATGTAAGTTGCGTGCTTGAATCTCAATGTTGTCATATGGCCTATGCAAATATTTATTTGGGTTGTTTTCAAACTTAAATGGGCCAGTCGTCAAGAGTAGATTTTACGGTTAAGTTTGTTTTAGAGTCGATCCAAGGTTTTGCGACTTTGATAAACGTATGATTTTCAGCTTATTAGTCACATTGAAACAGGTGATATCAATTTTTATAGAACGATATATTACGATTATTCGTATAGCAGGGAATAAAAATAAGCTCTTATTAGAGAAAATTGGAGCAACACAGTAAGTTTCATAAAAATGTTGAAAGTTTGGTTGAAACTGAAATCCTCTTGGTGAGGCAACATCAAAGTCATATAATAATACATGACAATATGAGTTTTTGTATATTTTTTTAAAATTTTATGTGGCGGAGGGGAACTATTCAGCAGCAGGGGGAGAGAGCGCTGTAACATCTGGATGCCTTATAGGACTCGGCTTTACGCTAAATCCCCCTGAATATGGATGAAAATTTCCTTTTGAAGGATTTAGAGTTTAAGCTGATAGATTTTGAACAAATAAATTGCGCCTAAAAAATTATTTTTAATGATTTTCAGGATCCTCTGAAAAACAAATATAAAAACAACGACGCATAAGCACTATTAATTTTTTTCCCGATTTTGGACTTTTCCTCCGCTGGCAATCGATTTTGAATAACTATGAAGCTTTTTCGTCCTGGACGATAGAGTGGTATCAGGTCTACCCTCTTCTCCAAACCATTGGTCAGCGATCTGACACGTAGTAGCAAAACGGTCTCGTAGAGCTATAGTTGTCTGTGTGGTACGCCTCGGTGTATCAGTTGGCCTTCAACGTGTTCCTCTACCTTCTTCTATCCACACACGACACACACACATTACCGTACAATTGTCAAGGCAACCAGTTTCGCGATAGGATAAATCAGCCTCTCGATAGACCTGACATGTCTAGAGAGCAGTTAGCTAAGCGCTAGTGTTTTGAAAATCGTGCTTGATGAGCTGAAATCCCATTTTACAAACAATGTACCTTCTACTGTCATAAGCAAATTAAAATGTGCATTGAACACAATAAATCATAATTGCTGTCAACAGAGAGCAATGAAGTTTTAATGACCTTTAATCCTGCTGCATACTGCGGTTGTTGACGTATGTACATGTATATGCATAAATTCTGAGCTACACAATCTCCGGTGTCGCGTGAAGTGCGTCAAACGCGCCAACACAGAGAGAATTTTCTTCATCGATATTTTTTGCATTATTAGACCAATCGCTTGATAAACACGGGGGAGAATGTTGGCGAAGATATGGAAAGTTTTTATCGAAGATTTTGGCAATCCCTTCTGGGTCGTTACTTAGCTACATCTTGTATTTTACCCGTTCGAGCTGCCACAGTGTAAAAATCGCACCCAATAACAGGTGCTCACATTTATAGGGTGTCCCAGAAGTCGTCAATCCGCACGGGTATCATGTAAAAAACCTATAAAACGTCAAAAAAAAAACCTATAAGATGTCAACTTGCAGACTTAGTTTTTAGGGCGCAAACAGTCATTCCACGTTTGCTCACTAGGATCGTTGTGAACGTCCATCTATGGAGGAATCACTCAACTAAACTACGCATTACTGGTTGCACAGTTTTGTGAGGCTGAGTGATATGAGTTCCCTAGTTTTTATCTCCGAGAAGAAAGTTGGTTGAATAGTAAGATCGCATCCGGATGATTATGTGTATTGGTCTGCATGTATATAAAATCAGTGATATTTGCTGTGTGAGAAAATCATTACTGAATATGACGGGTTATTTATATGTTGTGCTTTCTGAAGAGAGGTTATGTTCATAGTTACAAATTACGAAAAACTGAAGAGAATTACGCCCGCGTTGTGTGTAATTGCTGTTAGCATGTATATGGCTTGTAATTCGACAGTGTACAGTGAATATAATTATTTCTTATCTCTCTCATTTTTGAAAGTCAGCAAATTTGTATATGTAATTTCCAGAATGGATAAGAAAAAGTAGATGCGCAACTAATTTTCTAGCTTTGAATCTCAATTGAGTGTATTTGAGACAAGAACCCAATGTAATTATCATCAACACATACAACTTACAGCTTAGACCTCCAGTAATGCCATCTCAGCAGCAGATTTTACATCAAATTAGAGCCAAAGATTGATAACAAGCGTGATGACGTTTAGGCAACACGTACAACTAAGTGCTAACTTAACATCTTGTAAAATAACCTACATAATCTCAAAAAACAGCATAATATCAAAAAAAATTCGGCATAATGTCACCTTTCAAGTTACGTAATACCCCTGCCGGAAACGACCAAGTCATAATGGTTTTCAGAAATACATAATAAAAGTCCTGTGTTGATCTTTTAGTTCCCGGTACTACAACTTTCAATTTTTTCATCACAGGACGCAGATTTTTTCGATTTCCTAAACCCTATTATTTGAAACATACTCGGCTTAGATTTTTTATATTTTCCTGATAACTATTATGACTATCCCCCGTTTCTAAAAAACCTATAAAACGTAAAAAAACCTATAAGATGTCATCTTGCAGGCTAGGTAGTTTTATTGCATGTCTGCTCACTAGGATCGTTGTAGGCGTCCATCTATGGAGGAATGGCTCAACTACATGTATACACGCATTGTTGGTTGCATATGTTCTGTGAAGCCGAGTGGTGATTGTGTGTATTGGTCTGCATGTGTATAAAATCAGTGATATTTGCTATATGAGAAAATCATTACTGAATATGCTGTCAATGAAGTATATCTATTAGCTGTGCCCGACGGGTTATTTATATGTTGTCCTTTCGCAGGACAGGTTATGTTCAAAGTTATCAATTACGATTTTTTACGTTTTTTTTTTGTTTTCAAAAACTTTGAGGAGAATTATGTGTGTAATTAATGTGAGCATATGTATGACTTGCAATTCAACAGTGTACAGTGAATATAATTATTTCTTATCTCTCTCATTTTTGAAATTCAGCAAATTTGCTTATGTAATTTCCAGAATGGATAAGAATAAGTGGACGCGCAACTAATTTCTAGCTTTGAATCCCAAGTAAGTGTATCACTATGCACCTATGCATTGCCGTTTCCTCCAGTAATGCCATCTCTGAAGCAGATTTTACATCACATCAGAGAACATTGATAACCGAGGATGACGTTTAGGCAACACGTACAACTACAAAACGAGTTCACAA